AAGGTCATTGCATGTTTGACTGCGAGTCTGCCAACCCATAGGGTCGCCTTTGGGCCGGAGCACTTAGGGCCATCATTTCAGTGCTTCTAACCACCATTGTTGAAAAAATGAGTATTAATTAAGTTCAGTTTGCATAAGATTATTGGTTTGTCAAGATTATTGAAGGCTCGGCAAGTGGTTAATGATCATAATATTTTGGATTTTTTACAAATCAATTAGTAATTTAATACGATAACTTTCATGAACTATTAAATTTTTTTAAAAAAACTCGTATTATTTAGTTATATTATGAAATTTTATAATTTTGCAGTCATGTTAATTACGTTTAGTATGTTATAGATACGGAGAAAAAAAATTTCAGAAAATAACCATTTCTGCAAAGATGTACCTTGAAAAATTAGTATGCTTATTGTTATTTTTTTTACACTATTATTTGAGTGAAACTTGTTTTTTTTTTTTAATGAATATAAATTTATTGACTTAAAAGTTGCTTTGAATGTTGGAAAGGGAGAAGGAAAGAATATACAATAAGGTTTGTCTTATTAAAACAAAATGTTTTTATCAAAAAACCAAATTTTGTTTTTCTTTTCCAGAATTTTTCACGCTTTATTGACGTTAGGTAATTTAATTATAATCCATTGATTTTATGCAAATTGCACAGTAAAAAAATGAACCACTCAGAATAACTTTTGATCTAATAATCGGAAATTCACGTAATAGGACTCAATCTTACTGGCGCTAGGGGGTGAATGAAAATATGGTAATTAATTAGTGCAGACGCGATATTAATTTAGGATATACACATAAACGTACTTTACATGGAGAACCATCAGTGGGTCAAAGAAAGAGTCGTATTTTAACCTGCAGTCTTCTCTGCGTAGCAAAACCGGTTTTTCAATGATAGTCGATAGGGGAATAGTGTACAGGGGAGAAACATTATCCCAATTTTGCCCATTTTCAAAACCGCCAGTGGGATAAATAAGCAAACACGTTTATATACACTGGTTATCATAAATTAAGGAAAATTCACAAAAATCGCGATAACTCAAGAAATTACACATGGAATTTTATGAAACTTACCCACAATATACAACACATAGTAAGGTATTAAACAACATAAAAAGAAATTATCAGACATTAATAGTAGTATAGAAATTAGCACATGTATAAAATAAACAAATTGGAAGTATCGGTTTGCAATAGAAAAAGTACCTTTAATATGGAATATGATTGCCTCTAGAAGCAATACAGCACAAACAGCGATGTGTGATGCTTTCAATTATGCGGTCTATCAGTTCAATAGGAAGTGAGAGCCATTGCTCTTGTAAAGCAGTTGCAAGCGTGGCAAGGGTCTGAGGGGGCGGATTGATGGCAGATACACGCCTCCCTAGAGCATCCCAAACGTGCTCGATAGGATTCAAGTCCGGGGATCGAGCTGGCCACTCCATGCGAGTAATTGTTTCCTGTTGAAGATAATCATCAACAATGCGAGCTCTGTGTGGTCTTGCATTATCGTCCTGTAACAGGAAGCAATCACCAATTGCCCCGGCATATGGGCGCACATAAGCATCAAGGATGTTGTCTCGATAAACCTGAGCATTCACGGTTCCCCTTGGAAAGACATGGAGGTATGTGCGCCCTCCTAAGGATATGCCTCCCCAAACACAGACACTGCCTCTTCCGTATGCATCTCTTTCACGGATGTTTGATGGATGATAACGGGTCCCAGGTTCTCTCCATATCAAATAACGTCTACTGTCACTTTCTAGACTAAACCTGGACTCATCCGTAAAGAGAACAGGCCTCCATTGATCTGACGTCCAGTGGACATGTTGTCGGGCCCACTGCAAACGGTCTCTCCTATGGCGTGATGTGAGCGGCACGCAAATGGCTGGTCGTCTCGCATACAGACCACCTTCGTGGAGCCTTCTGCGCACAGTTGACGTTGACACCAACCTTCCGGTGGCTGCAGCAAGAGAGGATCTAAGATGTGTCGGAGTAGCGGTTCTATTCCTGCGTGCACTTAATGTCAAATATCGGTCATCGGCACTGGTCGTAACAGTTGGCCGTCCTTGACTGAACCTCCTAGATGCCGAATCTGTGGTTTGAAATTGCCTCCAAAGTCTATGAACCACAGATGGACTCACATTTAGCCATCTGGCCACTTCTGATTGACTCTGCCCTGCCTCTAGTCTCCCGATGGCTCTCCATCGTAGTTCTTCAGGCAAATGATGCCTAGAGGTCATTATTACGAATTGGCTATCTCAGATTTTCAATGTCGCAATCACAGTAAAATTTGTGTGCTTTCTCTCAAACTTGGACTTTTATGCTCCAGGCAGATGACGTAAGCCGAGTGCAGCGCCACTAATTTGCATATTGCAATTTTACTCAGCTACTCTTAGTGGACAACATATGCAAATTTTGCACGGTTTGGCTTACTTTTGAAAGAGTTATCGCTATTTTTGTGATTTTTCCTTAATTTATGATAACCAGTGTATATACAGTGGTAGCCAAAAGTGTGGACACTTTTTGCAAGTTTCATGCTTTTCAACTTTGTAGGCTTGTAGAATATATTAATTTTCACTTAAATACAAACGTTTATATATCAAATTGAAGGTAATTTAATGTAGAATTTGATAATAATACAGTATTGCAATATTTGTATTACAAAAAAAGTTGTGCAACTAATAGTAAGATCTTAGATTTGCATTTTTTTAAAGTGATACTTACACAATCAATACTTAGTAGGAGAACCCTTATTTTTTAAGACAGCTTCACATCGTCTTTTTATCGAGTGAACGATTGTTTGGAGTTCATCTTTCGTAATCACATGGTGCCAAGAATCAACTACAGCTTCACTTAGTTGTCTTTTATTGGATGGACGTTTTTTTCGTACAAGAATTTTCAAACGTCTACACAAATTTTCAATTGGATTGAGATCAGGGCTGTTTCCTGGCCATGGTAATATATCTATGCCTCTATTTTGAAAGCATGCTTTGCATACTTTAGCTGTGTGGCATGGAGCTGAATCCTGCTGAAAAATAAATGGTGCGTTGTTGGGGAAGAGATCCCTGATGGATGGTATCAATTTTGGTTTCAGGACAGTTTCGATGTATTTTTTGGCATATATATATATATATAGTCTTAATGCTAATTTTACTTGAGTATTTCTCCGTATCTTGAGAATATTTTAAGCAAATTGATAAAAATATTTTTGCGCACAATTATAAAATTCGTTTATCCAAAGATAATTCCATGCAAGAAATAATTTTGTTACAATTATTTATTCTTTTTTATAATTTTGTGAAAATAATCATTTCAGAATTAACATAATTTTTTTAAAAAATTTAACTTTGTTTGGCGAAATATAAAATTTGCAGGAAATCCCTCGAATAGTTCTTGAGAAATTAAATTTCAAATGTACGACTTTAAGTAAAATTCGATTTTTCAAGAACTAGTCAACTAATTTTGTTCAAATATACCATTTTGTGATCAGAAATTATATTTTAAGATGATTTAAAAATTTTGAGTACCTTGCACTTCAAAAATTTTTAGACTATTATTAAATGAAATAATTTTTATTTATTTATTTTTTTTTTTGCATGGAATTTTTTTAAGATAAATGAATTTTGTTATTGTATACAAAAATTCTTCAATACTCTTAAAAAGTTCTCGAGATATGGCAAAATATGCAAAAAATAAAATTAATATTGAGGGGTCAAAACTTTCGACAGCTCTCCAAACCAAACTATTAGAACCGCATTTCCCAGATTGCTGCTACCTCCTATTTCCGAGGGTCAAAAAACATAATTCGTCCGAAAAAGATTATGTTTAATCAGAAAAAGTACGTTTTTGTGCAAAATCTTAACTTCAAATATCGTCAGAACTAACTAATTAGCATATTTCAGGCCACCCCCTCGAACCATTAAGGTTGAGTCATAGTGCATGAAAATCCGATCATTAGCTCAAAAGTAATTCAAGGAGTTTTTTTCTTTATTTTTTTTTTACTCACTGCACAACGCAATTAGAAGCTTGGGTTCTAAACAATAAATAATTAAAATAATATTTTAAAGTAAGCATTTAAGTATAATTGAAATGAAAATAAACAGTCTAAAATAATCTGCGTTAAATTTGTTCTGTTAACTTTCTAAGTAAAAGTATTGGGGATAAAATAAGGGAGTTAACGAAACCTGCTTCGTGGAATTTATGCACTTATAATTATGTTTATAAGGATAAATAATCTAATCTCACAATTACTCCTTAATTTAACGATATATGAATGAATCTGTTTAAACGTAAATTGCTCCTTTTAATCTATCAATGTCACAAAATAACATTTGGTACACTAAACACCATTATCACACCTACCCACTCGACTAAGTTTGCTTATCAAAACTAATTATTTTATTTGCTTTGCAAACCAGAACTAAAATGTAAGTCTAAGAATCTGCCTACGATTTTGTCTACTTCCTGTAAGGAGCTGTATGAACAGTAAAAACTGGAAAACCGTTTCTGAGAACAGGTCAGAACGGAAGAGAATCTTTAAGAAGGCCAGGTCTCACTGTGGGCTGTCATGCCAATTTTAATGATGTATATAATTTTATTGTTGTGTGTGTTCAATTGCATGGAAAGATCTACTATCATAAACTGCTAACTTATAATTAAAGTGAAACATAACAAATAAGTTGAAATTTAATAAATAAGTTAAACAGAAATACATAAAAATACTAAAATATTTCTTTTAACTGAACAGTTAAAAATACCCGATGTAATATATTACAATGTTTATGAAAACATTTTGCAATTCAAATCTCATTCCATTTGACTAATACTCATAAGGCGCGTTATTTATTTTGATAAACGTATATTTATTAAACATTTTTCTTAATAAGAAAATTCATAGGAAAAAAAAAATTGCTAAAATAAAATTTTAAATTATTTTTTTCATAAGTATGCATTAGTTTAAATATTTCGCAAGGTCACTCAAAAAAACAGCTTACTTTTGGTCTTTTCCAGGAAAACTGAAAAGGAGGCTTTTGATGATAGAATACTGATGTTTGTGTTGCAGGAAAATCAGCGTCTTCGAATAACTCGCCCCGTTTCGAATAACTTCGTTTGATTTTTTCAAATTCACTCATTGCCTGAAATTGAAAGAAGAACATTTATCAAAATAACAAAAACACTTTTTTGTACAACATTTAATCATAAAGCACAACACAGTTTTCCATTTTTGTCGGTGCATTTTTATTGACAAGAAAACCATATGGTAGGATTCAGTTTCCCACAGTAAACAAAAACACTCCCAATTCTTTACAAAGTTATAGTAGCAGTTTTTGTGCAAGGTGATAACAGTGGACAGACTAGTGATTTTAAGTCCTTAAATGCGTTTATCTCAAAATCAGGTTTTTACACATTTTCAAACACCTTAAACACGGTAACTCATGTCATTTTTAAAACAATTGTTTACATAATAATAGTGTTTATGATTATAGCGCACGTTTTGATCTACAGACTAGAAGAAAAATGTAGAATTTTATTTTTTGAGCATGATTTTTCGCAAACACACGTGCGGCAATTTCTTAAAAATTAGCTTTTGTTAAAGATTAGCTAAAATTGATCCCTAACACAGTAGTATATGCACTTACTTTTAATATAATCGCTCAAAACGTATAGTTTATAGCTTTCTAAATAAAATCCTCAAAGTATTTTTTCTTTGTTTTGTTTTGGGCGATAGAATTGTTTTACAGTGTTTCGCGTATATGCAAAAGAATTTTATATAAATATGGCAATTTAAAAAAATAAATTAATAATAATTTTTTATTTTTAGTTTTTTACCCATAATATAAAATATAAACTAGTTTTCTTTCAATTTTATATTCGTTGTCAAAACCAAGCGGATACCTTAAAGTTAGCAAAATTTAAATATTGGCTTAACACGAAACTCCGAATTTAGTTGCAAATCCAGCCAAATAAAAAAAAGAAAGGCTCCTCTCTCCTTATAAAGTATTCCAAAACACGCTATTTTAATGTTTTTTGAACCAAAAAGTCTCAGTTTCTACCTCATTTTGGCTAAGTGTTGCAGAAAATCAACTTTTTCTGAAGATGGCTGATTCTGCAACTGAATGGCACAATCCAGATGCAGGCAACTACATAATTATAGCTTTAAAATACAAGCAATAAATGCAAGACCAAATGTTTGCGTTATGATTAAACATTTGTGTTAAAATAATTGTGTTATCAAGCAATGTGTTAAAATAATTGTGTTATGATCAAACATTTTGTGTTTTTATTTATGTTATGATCAAACATTTGTGTTAAAATAATTGTGGTATCAAGCAATGTGTTAAAATAATTGTGTTATGATCAAACATTTTGTGTTTTTATTTATGTTATGATCAAACATTTGTGTTAAAAAAATTGCGTATGATCAAACATTTGTGATAAAATTATTGCGTATGATCAAACCTTTGAGATAAAATAGTGTTATGATCAAATATTTGTGTTAAAACAATTGCGCTGTGATCAAACATTTGTGTTTACATATGTCTTAGGATCAAACATTTGTAATAAAATAATTGCGTATGATCAAACATTTGAGATGGAATAATAGTGTTATGATCAAACATTTGTGTTAAATATTTGTGTTATATTTGTGCTAAAATATTTGTGTAATCATTTGTGTTAAAAAAAAGATCACAATCAGGATTTTTAATATAGCTTACTTAAAGATACGAATTCTATTTTTTTTAATTATTATTATTATTTTCGTGATTAAAATTAACACTGAAAGAAACAACAAATTTTTTTTTCATTTATTGTATAACATGCATTATGACTAGGAAAAATCCATTCAAATTTAAAAATAAAATGGAATTTATCATAAATTAGATCTTATAATTCTTTTACTCGTAGTACATATAGTTTTGCTCACAACTGATTCACTAATTTTGTTGATTTTAAAAATTGTTTGAAAAGTAAAAATACATTGCATATAGGTGAAAAACTTATATTTTATGCGTCATTTGGCAACACTGACATTCAAATTGACAGCCTGACTTAAAAACCCTTGGGGTTTTTTGGCATTACTACACTATGGTTCGAGTAGTTGTATGATTATGATTGTATGATTTTTATGCCATGCTGTTAAGGTATCATTAAAAAATTACCAAATTTTACCACATTTATCAAAATTTTTCACGTATTGTTAAATCATATTTTACTGTTAATTTTACCAAAATCATTACCAAAACGAATCAGCAAAAATTACCCAGCTTTTTGGTGATCCAGAAACGTGTTAAATTTATCATATTCTGACAGTTAGACCATACTTTTTTTCTCAGTGTAAATCTTAATTCTTAACTTTTAAATACTTCTTTTTACTAAATAGACAATTTGACAAAATTTTAATATCAAAATAAACGACAAAATATCCCTTACCCTCCTAAAAGTCACAGTGAAAGTCATTATTGCCTTCTAAAGTTGATCATCGAAGTTCTTCTCGCTGTGTTATTTTGACCAATGACAACAAACGACAGGGAAAAGGACTCATTGACATTTATTGTGATCAATTGCTTGTGGCTATTAATGTAGGTTAGTTGACAGCTCAAAAGCAAGCTCGTTTGTTTTTCCTGCGCTTTCATAGACAAGGTGTAGTGGTTAGTAAGTAATTAATGTGACATCATTTACTGATTCTGGAAGCAGCTTACAAGACAATTCGTTTAAAAAAGAAGCGTGGCGAGAAAGGAAATCGCAATTGTTAGAAGTCGCTGACGCCCCGAAGCAAAACACTCATCTCTTTGTTATTCAAAGAGTAACCTTGAAATTAATATTGTAATTAAAGATCAACATACAATAGAGTCAGCTCCTTCACCTGCTTTTAAGTCTTTTAACATAACATTAGCTTACATTCAGTGTGAAATTTATGTGTTGCAATCGATGTACATACAAACCTTATTACAGTGACAATATATTGCAACACTTACTCATGCAAATTTTCATATTTTAATGAAGGGAAAGCAGTAATTTTACAGGTTATCTAGCTATTGTGCAGATTAACTTGGGTGATCCGGTTAAATACCAAAAAAGTGCTTCCCTTTTCAAACTATCCAGGTATTCTACAAACTATCTAGATAATCTGCATTTTACCTAATTGGCAATCGTTAAAGTGAAAATAAGAACTTTGGCGGAACAACAACATTTCTGTACTATTAAATTAACATAATGTGTGTTATCAATAAATTAAAGAACAAACAATTAACAAATTAATTGATAGAAAGAGAGAAACAAACTTTTGAACTTTAACCATATGAAAACCGTTAATGCTAACATTATCTAGGTCAATTGTAGAAAAATCTTGATTCCGCACTTTAATGTATCGCCCTAGATGATCTGCAGATTACCTAGGTAATGCGCATATTATGAGCTATCAAGCTTTAGCTGTAACAAATACATGCCACACTTGGGGGAAAAAAATTGTTTATAATTGGAGATTTTGATATTTATTAATAAAATTAAACTACAAAATGGCATTCTAAATCACAGAGAACCAAACAACTCACCAACGGGGTTATTTCTAATGCTTGTCTTGTTTATAGTCAAACAGGTACTCCCAACCCCCAGGGAAAGAACACTAAAACTTTTAATTTATTACTGTTATTATTTTAGCATAAAATAAAGTTTTTTTATTTGGTCTTCAACAAAATATTTTATGAAGAATAAAATATAATTTCCTAACAAATTTAATAATAAAATTTTATATCATTAAAATTTAAATAATTTTTCTTTCGATATAAGGAAAACTAAAAACATTTCGTTGAAAACAAATTTTTTACCACAGAATACTTTTCACGAAAAATTGCATAAAAATAAATTAAAAATACATATTTAGATTTTTATGAATAAATTATTCAAATTTTTTTCCTTTCAATATAACTAAGTTTTTCCTTCCTGCAGTTTTTACTTTATTACATTCCTCTTTACAGTAGTTTGCCTCTGGTTTCCACGAACCTCTGTAATGGGGCTCAGAGGAATAAATTATTTTACAGATTGCAATATTTCACGTGTATGCATAACTGGCCTAAAACATACAGTCATGTGGTGTATGTACATACATTGAATATTTTTCAAGATTATGTTTATTACACAGTAAAAAAAAAAACGGTTTCTCAAAGCTGAACTAAAATGTGTCAAAATAGCTCCGGAATATGTAGTCGAATTTGAAAACTTATTGTATTCTAAATTAAAATAGTATAAACTCCTTTTTGAGCAAAATGCATAGTGTCAATGATTTGATTGATTTGATTTTGATTTGTTCATTTACGTCACACTAGAGCTGAGCAATGGGCTATTGGCGACGGTCTGGGAAACATCCCTGAGGATGATCCGAAGACATGCCATCACAATTTTGATCCTCCGCAGAGGGGATGGAATCCCCGCTTCGGTACCCCGACGACCTGCACGCGAAGTCGAGCACTTTACGGTAGAACAGTTTAACGAGGACCAATACCACACACCTCGGTCCCTACGCAGACTGATCCAAGTGGTCACCCACCTGCTGCATAGTGTCAAAAGCGATGAGGAGTGAGAAATGTGCGAGAGAGATGTTCGTTGACTGCCAGCAGGATTTGATCCAAGGACCTACGGTATCGGAGTAAGATGCTGTAACCACCATAGCTGTACTCTCCAGTCAAGGAAGTAATAGGGAGCTTTATATCGTGGTGGCCGCAATGACACATTATGACATGCATTCCATTCGCTTAAAAGTTTCTAAGATACAGCGAAATAAGCAGAAAGTTAAATTAAATTTACCGATCTCCTGAATGATTGGGAACCTCTTATTAACGGCCGAAGAATCTTCATCTGTTAAATGGTGACTGGTGCACGTTAAATCTATCGGAGTCGCAAAGTCTTCCAAGTTATCCAGGAGTTCCCTTGTTTTCTGTATTGGGTTCAAAATTGCAAGGCTACGGAGTTAAACATTGATAACCGTAAACTCAAAATTCGGGTCAGCTGTTCAACGACGGTAATAAAAAAAAACCTTTTATACTGTGTAGTGATTTAGATTTCAAATGATTTTAGATTCAGATGCATTACATTAAAACTAGAATTCCTTAACAACAGGGGAGTTTAGATGCTCTAAAGT